CATTTGGATTATGACAGTCATGAATCAGTTACCCCGAGGTCAACTAAGTCTGCAGTTCCATTAAGGGGAAAACTAATACATACTCCCAGAAGAACATCATCACCAATGAGCAGCTCGAGCGTATCAAAGTATTCAAGACGCCGTGCTAGTGCTGCTGATTCCCCTTTCAATCATTCCATGAAGGATGACGATAGCCTCATGAGCTGTCCTCCTTTTTCAGGTCCAAGTTACATGTCACCAACCATCTCAGCCAAAGCTAAATTCAGAGGAAAAACCATTCTTGAGGAGAGAAACATAGGTACCCCATCTAACAGCTCGAGGAGGAGGCTGTCGTTTCCTTTGACTCCAAGTAGTACTGGGTCTGTCAAGTGGAACAAAGGGTCTGGAAAGGATGCTGCTTCTTTAAAGGAACATGAATCTATGGGAGATCATATGAGTGTGCATTCTACTGGTTCGACGCCCACTGTAGTTGGGAGGAAACCATTTCAAAGATTTGTGTAATTTTGTCCATCTGTATTTAGCTCTGAAGGTACCTATGTTTATTTTCTTTTCTTTTCTTCTTTTTGATGTGTATTTATTGGTGTATTTTGTTAACAGAACACTAATGTAAAATAATTAAGTGTGAACATTCTCTTGTTTGTTAGACTTTTCTAGTGAAGGAAGAAAGGATAATTAGTATGTTTTTAAGTTGGATCTCCCTCTGCTTGTACTCTTTTATGCTAAATCATGTGGGGAAGTGGTGACTTAGTGCTAACTTTACGTGGTCATCGATGGATTTCGCCTTTTGAGTCATTTTGATGATTCATGTGATGATTATCATATTTGATCTTGTTAGCTGCCTATTCAATTTTTTTCCATTTCTGCCTAATTTTATGACTACTGCATTTTTAAAATCTTTTTTTTTTCTCGACATTTTCCTCCCTTTTTTGCATTTTTTTTGTTAATTTATGTAACATGTAATCTAGTATCCTTATTCATTAATACATAACTCCCACTAAGTCAATTAAATAATAGTTAAAGATGTCCATTACTTTTGTAATGTATTTATCATGTTAATTATCTGCTTCTCTTTGCAACGTTACTTTTTCTCATGCCTTTTTGTGTGCTATACTTAAGGAGTTTGAAAATAAATAATGCAAAAATTTCTTGAAGGTCTGGTAAAAGAAAGTTGTCTATAAATTATGAAGTAAAAAGTTTTGGTTATTAATTTCAGATGTTTTACGTAGTGACATTTTAATTATTGATATTAATCTAATTCAATTAGAATGTTTGGTACTTTGTAGTGGTACATAAGCTAAGTATTGAAAATTGGTTTTACTCTTTCTATTTCTAACCATCGGGGATCTCCACTTCCCACATCGAGCTTAGAAACCCGGTCTTTATCATTAAAAAGAAAAAGATTTTAGCTATCCTCATCAACAAAGGGGTCCCATCGCACATCCAATTCATGAATAGAGGATTCAATTACGAAAATAAAATAAAATAAAATAAAATAAGAGAGTACATTACTTCATGAATCATTAATTTCGTGCATTTTTAAATTCCACATTTTCAATGTTATGCTTCGTTTGATTTTCACTAGCAAAAAAAAAAACATGTGAATACAATATATCTGAAATAAATTACACCTAATTTGATCGACACGTATTCGAGTGCACTAGATTACATGTATTTGGCAAAGTAAGTAAATGTGGTACGAAAGATAATTTCAAAAATGGGAAACTAAAGTGAAGGTAGGTAATTAGTCCCTAAACTGGTGTGATTTGTGTTGTTAGCTCAAACAAACATTTAAAAAAATTAAAAATAGGGAAATTATGTAATTACACGACTTAAGATAACATTACCTCTAAAAATCTCTACAATTTGATTAATTACAAAATTCCCTTTTTCCTTCCCTCTCTCTTAACATCCGGATACATCACTTCACCTCTATCAAATACATTACAACTTTGTTGTGTACAATGTATCTGGTATAAATGTTATTATTGATACATAACGCCAATTGTTTCAAACATATAAATATGAATCTTATTTATAGTTATATAGATACATAACTTATGTACTATGTATCGGGCGAATAAGCAATGTATTCGCGAGTTTCGAAATATAATGTCCGTGCAGATGGGCTGCCCGCTCCATATGTAATAGCGGCCCAGTCCAAAACCCAAAATAAATCTCTCTTCTTCCTCCATTTTTTTTCAACACCAAACAAGCCCTGCTGATTCCTCCATTTTCTTCAGCAAAATCGAAGTTTGCCCTATTATTTTTCTTCTTTTCCCCACTGTTCGCAGTTTGCTAGGTCACAGAATTATTCGGGTAAGTCATGATTAACTTGTTTTAGGTCTTTGAATTTTGCTTTGTGATTTCGTGTTTATGAGTTAATGATGATTCCTAACAATTAGGTCTTTGTCAAATCAAATCATCTTATGATTCACTGGTCGTTTTGTGGTTAATAAAGCTCAAAACTTGGTGCGTCTTGCAGTTTTTTTAAACTGTAATTTGCTTCCCCTGGGTTGATTTTCTTGGATTTATTTTACTGAAGGCTATGCAACTGGTTTCTCATGGGTTTTACTATATTGTTTGCCTTTTAATTTGTTGATTTAGGTTTAATTGGTAATGATAAATGTCCATAGTAATTTGTAGAAGATGCATATTGCAGATATATAACCCGTGTGTGCTAGTGTCAAGGAAAACATCACTAGTTTTAGGGGTAAATGGAGATAGATCACTACATTGAGCCTTTATTATGCAGGATTAAGTTAGTGAAGAATTTTTTTATATTTGCTAATGCTAAAGCTGCATAATCTTGAGATGAGATGCTACTTAAGGGGGGTGGATTGGGGGAGTATGATCACAGCATTTGCCTAACATTGGGGGATATTCTAAGTTTCTATTCTAATAATCTTTATCCAAGTTGTTTATAGCTCAATTTACAATATCTAGTTTCGGTGTCTGTGGGAACAAGAAGAAACATTATATGTGACAGGTAAACCATTCAAACAATATGTTTTCGTTAAGGCATTTTAGAAAACATTAGTATTTATTCACTTGGTTCAGATAACATTATACTTTTATTCGGGAGACAACTAAACCTTATGCAAGGAAGATTTGATATTTTAAGAAAAATTAATAGTGCCTATTCAACAAGGCAAGGAAAAGAAAAGAGCAATGGTTAGTTATAGATAGAGCTTCAGCTGATAATAGACATATTTAGGGGTGGGGGGATGCAGGAGGAGGAGGAGAATAGGAAGGACAACTCATTTCCAAAACCATTTTTAGGACTTCAATAAGCTTTGAGGTATATCGTAAAACAAGTTAGAATCCAAAATTTGTGCTGATTTTGTTCCGCACGTTTTCATCATTTGGACGATATGTATTAATTCTGGGTTCCATTGTGACCCCTAGTGATGTACGGATACTAGATAATGACAACCATTGAGGGCTAAACTGAAATCTGGGAATACTGCCAACAAATCTAAGGACTTGTTCCTGAGGAAATGTATTTGGTAGATGGAATCATTTATATAGTATTTCATATTGGCTGTGAGAGGTAATATCATGGTACATATTATTGAAAGTTTAATCAATTGGTCTTCTTGTGTTTTTACTGAATATCGAATAGGGGTCTTGTTAATGGATATGAGAATGATTTTGGAGGCTTTTGGAGAAGACATTACAGGAGAATCATGTTTTGACGTACCATTGTTTTCGTGCTCTCCCTTGATCAAAAAGAAAAGTTGTTCTCCACTTCTCCCTGTCAGTTAATTTTCTTCTTTGCTTCCATGCAATTCTAAGCCCCGAGAAGTCCTAGCTTCAGTTTCCCTTCCAAGCAAATGTTTTCATTTGTGTTTCAATTATGCAACTGTATTTCTTGGAGGCTTTTACTAATAACATGAATTCTACTGTCCTTTTGGTTTCTCTTTTGCCCTAATAACATGAATTCATAGAGATTACCTTTGTCTTGATACGGCGGGCTTTGATATTTGATTCTTTCATCACCACTATTTGTGATTGGAGTTGCTGATATAGATATGATGTTTGACATAGTCTATTTTGTGTCTCAGTGCTATGGCTGCTAGAGCTGAAGAACCAATCAATGAGCAAGCAGTTGCCAACGTCTACAGTTCCATGAGGTCTGAGATCACCCAGATTTACTCTAAAATTACGGAACTAGAAATGGAAGTTAGTGAGCACTCACTCGTGATCAATGCTATACAACCACTTGATCCTGCAAGGCGGTGTTATAGGATGATTGGAGGTGTTCTTGTAGAGAGAACCATCAAGGAGGTCCTTCCTGCTGTTCAACGCAATAAGGAAGGAATTGAGGAAGTGATAGCTCGACTGAATGAAGCCTTGGAGAAAAAGAAAAAGGAGATTTCAGACTTCGAGGCCAAGTATAAAATTAGAATCAGAAAACCTGATGCTGAAGTAAAGGAGGAAGGTGGTCGAAAGGAAGGCTCTGCACAAGGAGTCCTTGTTGGTCCTGCTGGTTCAAATGAATAGACCTATCTAGTTTTCAAATTCCATTTTGAGGTACTTTGTTGAATATGATCAAGGAACTAAAGTACTTTAGCATCATCTTTAGAGTGTGATCTATCATGTTCATTTATTTTTCCATATCAGAGGTCTTGAGACCATGCTTCGTGCCTTGGCGGTGTTTTAACCAGACGATGGTGACACTTTGGGAATCTTAATTTTATCTCCTCGAACATTAGTCAAGTGTTTCTTACCTGCTGAGACTTGTGCCTTTTTGGGCTTTGGCTATGGATTGCAATTTAGGTTGTTGGAGTACAATTTTAGACACCTGGATCTGATTATTTTCCCATGGTACTGAAAATTATCTAATTGTTGTCCCTGTACACTCTTTTTGCACATAATTCCAATGCGATATATCATCAGTCTTGACATTTGATCTGGGAAAACTTAGCCTTGCTCACAACTATCTTTCCACTAACAATAATGACAAGCGCAAGTTCTTAATAGGGCTTTACTCAGAAAAGAAAACACTAAAGAGGGTAAGTACTATCATTGTCTAACAAATTAGACGTATGAATTGATGATCTCGTAAATATGTCAATCAGTTCATCACACAGACATGAAAATTGCACTTCCGGAGCTATTCATCGCATCCAATATTCTAGTATTCAGTAATAAGAACATAAGCACAGCACAATAATCAAGTTCCTATGTGATCATCATTTCATTTTCATTGCTGATGGTAAATGATTCGATCTGGTTGTTGGATGTCGTATCCATGGCATAGTTGGCTTTTCATTCTTCTGTTTTCCTGTATTCTGCATGACTTCTAGAGTAATATCTCACAATGAGTTAACTGCTACATTGAGCTCAATACGCAAGGACATCTATTACGGAGATGCTCCTCGAGGTCCAGGCTTTCCGTAGCCTAGACTGATAAGCTTTTGCACCAACTTTTTCTCAGCAGCTGCCTGAATAAGCAAGAAAGGGAAAATTACAATCACGCTAACAGCTGGAGATATATATATACACACACAAGATGAGATGCCTAATTTTATGGACAATAGATATCTACAAATCCATGTAGTTAACAGCTATATAAATGGAAATGACGTCCAAATAGAATTTTGAAAAAGGGAACACAAACATGCAGAGATAGAAACTAGAAAAGGAGGATAAACAGAGTGGGAACAGAAAGAGATCAAACCTCAAGCATGGGGCTGTTCTTGGGGATATTAGAAGCAAGTACAACATTGATTCCAGTCTTAAGAACTGCACAAGGATCTATGTCAGACGATATATCAAGAGAATAATGTCTAGGACTGACTTATTTTAAGTAGTAATATACCTATTCTACGGGCAATACCAGCTCCTGTATTATCAGATGATCCTCCTGTCAAGGAACTCACGCTAACAGTATTGCCCTGCACATGACATAAAGAGTTTGACAACTGAAATAGACAAGACGAATCGCAACCACCTTCTCTCCTCTGAAATATAACATTCATTCCCCACCTCAACATCTAAATATTTTAAGGGGATATGGAGAGAGGTTATGTGAGAGTACGGCAAATTTCTGTACAGTCTTATAATATCTCATTTTGAGTTCCTGTCTTGTTTTGTTCCCTACTTATTTCAAATTTTTTTCCGATAACTTATTTAGTCAATATCACTTTTTCTTTATGAGTATAATCATCAGTATGACTCTCAGTTCTCATTAACTTTACTCAAAAGCAATTACATAGATGACGAGAAAGGTGGCAGTATAAAGAAAAAATTGAAGTGCAATATATATCAAGTTCCAAACTTACAGGTCTTGTTGGAGCAGCTGCATACAAATCCCCAAGTTTGGTGGAGTTGCAACCAATCCATGTATATATCTATAGAGGATGAAAAGAAATTATTCTAAATAAAAAGTAACCTATTCATTAAAACTTGTAGACATTTCACACGCATAATTAACAAAAATCAGCAACCACAACAACTAATCAAGAAATTCAATAATTCTAGAGAGAAGTGTTGAAAACACCCCTAAACTTGATGCAAATTATTAGTTTCATCCCCGAACTATTGACAATCTTAAAAACACCCATCTACTTGACTAACTAAACTTAGATACACACCTCCGATCACCCCCGATTTGCTACAAGACATAGCAAGTGGTCTCAAACTCTTGTATGACATGTAACTCTTAATAAAAAGCCGAAAGAAGTGTTGAAAACACCCCTAAACTTGGCAAGAATTTAGGGGTGTATATCACTCATGTTGTAAGATCGGGGGTGTATTTAAGTTAAGTTAGTCAAGTAGAGGGGTGTTTTTAAAGCTGTCAATAGTTTGGGGATGAAACTAATAATTCACACCTAGTTTAGGGGTGTTTTCAATACTTCTCTCTTAATTCTATACACAACATCTCATTTTGTCTTGATAGAAGATGTTAATGGGTCATAAATGCATCAGCAAAGTTGATCCTTCAACATGCTAACATTTGTATTAACTGTAATTCTCAATTTTCTGTTGCATTTGCTGTCAAATGTAAACTTCTAACATTTTGTCCAACTTTCTAACTTCTTATTTTCTCTGGATTATTATATAGATCCCCATGCCCAACCGATAAAATTGCTTAATGAAATAATGAACCTTCAAATTCCTACTTGAACAGCTTTTTATTGATCAATTTGAATCATTACTGAACTAAGTGCCCGTTTGGATTGGCTTATTTTAGGTGCCTTTAAGCCAAAATAGCTTTTAAGCAGTTTTGAAGTGTTTAGGTAAAGTTAAAAAGTGCTTATAAGCACTTATTTTTAAGTCAAAATAACAAAAATAAGCCAAAAGTCATAAGTTAGAAATCCTAACTTATGGCTTTTGGCTTATAAGTCATAAGCCAAAAGCCAATCCAAACAGACCCTAAGCTTCTTCAATCTCGACAATTGCTTATTCTTAGGCTACTAGGAGTTTAAGACAGGCCGCTATGGTGAAATTGGTGGACACGATGTTCTTAGGCAGCAGTGCTAATGCATCCACGAAAATAATAATCGAAGAAACACCTCAATTGCAATAGAAAAAATCCCAAAGCATATTGAATGTCACTCAACTGAACCAACCACCAGTTCGCACATACTACCAAGTCCATGGCAAACTGACATCAGAAGTATTTAAAACAATTGTCTGGTGAGTACTTTTAATACCACGATGGTTAGCTTTCTTGTGGCTTCAGCTGTAATTTTCATTCATAAGCAATCGATTTATGAACATCATCAATCAATCATTAAGACTCAATCACAACCAAATGGGCTTTGGCTGTATGAATTCTTGGAAACTCTTTTGCTCGATTTGGAAGTTGGAACTACATCATTCCAATATCACTTTTGTTCTCTGAATTGCAAATCTATTCCTACAGTAATATACAAAACTCTTTAACCAAACAAAAAAATATTCTCAGCCAACACTCGTAACTGTAACAACAGTAGCCAAACTTTAATTCCAATGAGTTGGTAGTTCATATGGATACTTTGCTTCCGTTGCGTTTTATCCTTAAACTAAGTCCAGATTGATTCTGTGAAATGGTAGATTTCTTCTGACAGCTTCCCTTACCCCTCCATGTGAGTTTAGGTCAATCTCATTTTCTTTCAAACACCTTTAGCTATCAAAGTATTGTAGTTATGGACCAGCACAAGTGTAGGCCAAACTATGTCAGCCGGCCTTCTCTCGTTTTACCCAATACATTACTGTCTATTTGCACATATGTTGGATATAGCTCTTGACAAAATAGTGACTAATTCGTCTTTTTCCAGTCCTAAATTGCCAACCAAAACCTAACCCCCAAAAAATCATATTCCAAATCTTCCATAAATTTTCAACTTCTCCCCCAAATTCCTCTAACATACTACTACGTGCTTACTTACTTTACCACCTCAAAAACGAATAAAAAACTTCACTAAATTCTGACAATTTTATACTAACAAAATAGTTCTATAAAAAATGCATATCGATAATCTTTTGTTAATTGGTGTAAGGGAGCTACAAAACCTGATTCTGAAGACGAATGATCTGAAAGTAGAGAGTAGCATCGTTAACGACTTCAGAGAAACACGTGACTTGCACGCGACTTCCATCATCGCCTTCTTCTGCTACTTTCAACTGATTCATTGTCTCAGTAACAGCGTCAACTCTTCCATTAGAGGAGGAGGACGGTGGTGATTCCTCCATTTTTTCAGTTGAAATTGAAGAAACGAATTAGGCAAATTCAAAATTTCTAGGGTTTAGCAGGGGATTTTGGAGGGCTTTGAAAGAGATACGGGTACCGATGGGAAAAAACCCGATCTCTAACCCGATCCATGTTAAGGTGCTATAGTAGTAGAGTCTGTTCTTCGCACATAAATAAAAAAGTATTATCCTAAAATATTTACTAAATCTAAATATACTACTCCCAATATTTTTTATTTTTTATTTTTGAACAAAAACATGTTTGTTTGTTTTTTGTTTAAGTTTTGGATATTTTATTCATAGCTTCCAAAATCAAAACAAGAATAAACTACTCCTGATATTCTTTTTGTGTCATCTCCATCTCCAAATCAACAATTTGGTGTAATGAATTAAATATTGTTGAAAGCTAATCCTCTAGCTATGTTAGAGATACTGAAGTGAGGAAGAGGAGAAGAGGAGAAATTGAGAGTAACAGTGTAAACTGAAAATAACCGACTTGAACTTTTCATTATCAACAATGCACTATTTATACATAGTTCCTAACTAACAGTGTTTATTTACTCCTGTAACTAACTTTCTAACAGACTAACTGATCCAGCTAATTATATACAATTCACATTTTATCACTCCCCCTCAAGTTGGATGGGCCACCTTTTTGAAATATCATGAACAATAGCATAAAAGACATACAAGACAAGCATAACATCAAGTAAGTCATAATATCACCTTTAAACAATATCAACATGAAAACCTTTACCTTGGACCTTCACCTCAAGAAACCCTTATGCTATACCTCGTGCAATGTATGGATGGCGTCCCATACCACCATCCATACTAAGGCACCACATTGAGGTCACTTAAGGTAACTTATCATTCCTTTCTTTCACCTTTGCACAATATTCATACATAAGAGGTATATCATTAATTAAGACATGACAAGGGAAAATAACTCGTAATATAACCCAAGTATAACATGCATAACATATTAAGCATTTAAGAGCCAACATTCTTTAATAACCTCATTTAGGGTACATTCATGTCACAGTCATTAGGATTTAGAGAAACTCACTATGACCCTCTCCAAGCCTACTCGTGCAATGTATAGGTAGCATCCCATACTACTACCTACACTTTGTAGAACCTATCAAGAAACCATAATGAAATCTCACATGATGGGAAGTAAGCATTTAACCGACATAGACCATGAGAGCTTGTCATGGAATCCGGTGTCATGAGTCCCCACACCGAAAAGAGGTGGTCTACTTGCCTAAGGAAGACCGGTATATATAGCTTAATGGATCCACTAGCTTCCTATGCGGGCACATAGTTTATGGGATAAGGTAGACGATCATTGAAACTCATGCCTAACTGTCGGGGGAGTTTCCATCTAACCAAATCCGCTCGGTGCTTAGCCTACATTCCCATAGAATAGTTCATTACTTTGACATCATCACACATGAAAGGGTGCCATAAGCCTACCGATTCAAGGTACATTATTTAACACATGAAAGGGTGCCATAAGCCTACCGATTCAAGGTACATTATTTAACACATGAAAGGGTGCCATAAGCCTACCGATTCAAGGTACATTATTTAACACATGAAAGGGTGCCATAAGCCTACCGATTCAAGGTACATTATTTAACACATGAAAGGGTGCCATAAGCCTACCGATTCAAGGTACATTATTTAACACATGAAAGGGTGCCATAAGCCTACCGATTCAAGGTACATTATTTAACACATGAAAGGGTGCCATAAGCCTACCGATTCAAGGTACATTATTTAACACATGAAAGGGTGCCATAAGCCTACCGATTCAAGGTACATTATTTAACACATGAAAGGGTGCCATAAGCCTACCGATTCAAGGTACATTATTTAACACATGAAAGGGTGCCATAAGCCTACCGATTCAAGGTACATTATTTAACACATGAAAGGGTGCCATAAGCCTACCGATTCAAGGTACATTATTTAACACATGAAAGGGTGCCATAAGCCTACCGATTCAAGGTACATTATTTAACACATGAAAGGGTGCCATAAGCCTGCCGATTCCAAGGTTCATTACTTATCATTAATGGAAGGGTGCCATTAGCCTACTGATCCAAGGTTCATTATAAGCATGTGTGGAAGGGTGCCATAAGCCTACCGATCCAAGGATTCAACAATCAACAATATAATCATTTATACAAGAAAATGATGCATAAGCCCTACCAATTCAAGGTATACTTTATATTGAAGAATCCTTCATATTATATCATCAACATTCATGAGTGTCATCAACACATCTTTGGATTTCCATACATCTTATAACTCAAACTTTAAAGCATCGATTCATCAATTCTCCATAGTTGGACATTTTGTCAAACACCTTGAAGGCATGTAATGGAATCAAAGAGCATGGAAAATAGGGTAGTAATTATGCAACCAAACCAGTGAACAACAACCTACAACAACACCTTTACATTCATAACATATCTTCATTGAATTCTCATTCATATAATGTCATAATAACACTCCCATTTCTCATACTATGCCTTTAAGGCCATAAATTATGGCTTTGGAGGATGGTAAGTTGGCTTAATCTCATATTATTGATATAATTGTTCTTGCTTGGTTTGATCCACTTATGGTGGAGGTGTTTAATTATGGATTGTATTATGAATATGGCCTTGAAGGCATTATCTATTGAATTAAAGTGTTATCAAGTTATGAAGTGTTATAGTACTATGTGAAGGTAATCTTATGGTTATAAGGTGATCTTGTACAAAGTGTTATTGTAGTGTGATTGAAAGTATGTTCTCTTTAAATGTCCATATGTGACGATTGTTGTTGGTAGGTTGAATCCACCTTTGGTGGAAGTGTTATATCTTGTTCTTGTGTCTAAGTATGGGAGAGGTGTTTTGGGAAATGTTTTAGAGATGGGAATTGAACTAATGGTATATAGGAAATAACATATGCCCTTTGGAAAAATCGTCCAACACTTAGAAAAAAAAATGGGGCGGGTGAACAGTAAAATTAGCTACTGGAAATTGCATTCGCTGCCGGACAGACTTTACGGAAATGGGCATAACTTCTTCGTCCGAACTCCGAATGAGGTGAAACGAAGTGCGTTAGGTAGCTAACTCAAAGGGCTTTCCATGGATATATTATTGGCCACCCAAATAATTCGTGTGCTAGGAGATATGACCCTTCAAAGTAGACCCTCGAAAAAGGCTTCACTTGGAAATTTCGGATTTTGATACGGTTGCTCTAAAATTTGGGTTAGACCCATTTCCCACTCAATTTGACCCCCTAAACAAGAATATGAAGTCGGATTTTCGAAAAACGAAACGGATCTTTTTATATACAGCTAAACAAGTTTCCGGTAACTTCCGAAGCACATTTTTAAGAACTTTTTGGGTCAAATTCAAATATAATCATTTCATTAAGTTCTCGACTCTAAACTCACATGTGAGGCTCTAGTTTCACTCTATCATTTTCCGAGTCGTTACAGTGGAATATGTCCAACATTCCTAACTTGAACAACATGTTACTATGCAATTGTTTTCCTAAGGCTTTTGTAAAAACATCTGCCATTTGCTCCCTGTTTGTTATGTATTCAGTCTTGATGAGCCCTTCTTGTAGTCGTTCTCTAATAAAATGACAGTCTATTTCGATGTGCTTTGTCCTCTCATGATACATGGGATTTGAAGCAATTTGTAATACTGCTTTATTATCATAGTGCAAGTCCATAGGCAGTGTAATCTTAGCTTTAATTTCCTGTAGCAGACCCTGTAACCAAACTAACTTTGCAACAGTGGTTGCCATGCTCATGTATTCAGCTTCTGCTGAACTTCTGGAGATGGTATTCTGTTTCTTAGACTTCCATGAAACTAAAGACTCACCTATTCTGATGCCAAAACTTGTTACAGATTCCCTGGACACCACACATGAAGCCCAATCTGTATCACAAAAAGCACTTATTCTGTCTAATTTCTTGCTGCTCATTAATAAACCCAAACCAGGTTGTCCCTTAATATACCTCACTACATGTATTACTGCATCATAATGGGATTGTTTGGGAGCATGCATAAATTGACTCAAGTGTTGTACATCAAAAGAAATATATGGCTTTGTCATAGCCAAGTATAGCAACCTTCCAATCAATCTTTGATAGCCCCTTCTGTCTTCCAACTCAGTATCATCCATGAGGTTAAAATGTTCATCATACTTTAAACTTGTAAGTTTCTGATTTTGTTCAAGAGGAGTTGAAACTAGTTTTGCTCCTGCTAAACCACACTCTGATATTAACTCCAAAGCATACCTCCTCTGATTCATCAATATTCCACTCTTTGATCTAGCAAATTCAATGCCAAGAAAGTATCTCAATTCACCTAAATCCTTCATTTTGAAGTTATTATGCAATATATCTTTAGCTTCTTGTATCAACTTGTAATTGTTTCCAGTAATCAAAAGATCATCCATATATACCAAAATTATCACTATGTCACCATTAGCATCTGTTTTGGTGAACAAGGAGTAGTCTAGTTTGCTTTGAGTGAAGCCTGACTGTGTAAGGGCAGTAGTTAGTTTCAAATTTCACTGCCTGCTGGCCTGTTTTAATCCATACAAGGATTTGAGCAGTCTACACACCTTGTTGTTCTCCCCCTGACTGCCAAAACCTGGAAGTAGAACCATGTACACTTCTTCAAATAAATCACCCTGTAGGAAAGCATTGTAGACATCTATTTGGAAGAGAGACTAACCATGTTGAGCTGCCAAAGCCACAACACGTCTAACTATCACCATTTTTACAACATGTGAGAAAGTCTTGTGATAGTCTAAACCTTCCTGTTATGTGAAGCCTTTAGCTACAAGCCGAGCCTTATATCTTTCAACACAGCCATCAGCCTGATACTTGATCTTATACACCCATTTACAACCAATAAGAGTTTTGTTAGCAGGTAAATCAACAATTTTCCAAGTGTGGTTATCACTGACGGCCTGAATTTCTTGGTCCATAGAAATAATCTAGTTATTGTCCTGAGCAACCTGATCAAAAGAAGTAGGCTCTAACATAGAGAAAGATAGAGTGGAAAGATAAGCCTAGTAAGATGGAATGATGTGTGAGTATGACAGGGAAGAGGAAATGAGA